GTTGTTTCTCTTTTGGTTTGGATCCTCTTTCTTGTTTAATACTTTATTACTTTTTCCTCAATTTCATCCTTAATTAGCCCCCTTAATGTTTTTTTTTTCATTGTTTATTTCTGAGAGAGAGAGAGAGAGAGAGAGACAGCGTGAGCAGGGGAGGGTCAGAGAGAGAGAGAGGGAGACACAGAATCCGAAGCAGGCTCCAGGCTCTGAGCTGGCTGTCAGCACAGAGCCCAATGCAGGGCTCAAACCCACAAACTGTGAGATCATGACCTGAGCCGAAGTTGGACGCTTAACCAACTGAGCCACGCAGGTGCCCCTAATTAGCCCCCTTAAATCTTTCTGTGCATGTCTGTAAATGTGTAATTCTGTTATCATTCTTGGTTAATCATTTATTTGATTAGGTAAATAATTTTAAATTTAAGGTGTAACTTTCTGTTAGAAGTTTAAAAGCATTTCTTCGTGGTGCCTGGGTGGCTTAGTCGGTTAAGCGTCCGACTTTTGCTTAGGTCATGATCTCGCGGTTCGTGGGTTCGAGCCCCGCATCGGGCTCTGTGCTGACAGCCAGCTCAGAGCCTGGAGCCTGTTTCAGAGTCTGTGACTCCCTCTCTCTCTGACCCTCCCCTGCTCACACTGTCTCTCTCTCTCCTAGAAATAAAAAAACAAAAAAACATTAAAAGCGTTTCTTCATTGTTAGCTAGCATTGCAGCTGATTAGAAGTTGTCTAATCCTCCTCTCATCTTTATCATTTGTAGATGACCTCCGTTTTCCTTCCTCTGTAGCTGCGTTATTCTGAACTTTCATAATGGTAGGGTTGTCTCTTTTCCGCCTTCCTCCTAACCACTTGTTGAGTGGACCCCTCAGTTTGTTGTCTGTTGTTTCCTTTCAGTTTGGGGAAGTAGTATTAAGTTATTTCCTTGATAGTTTACTTCCTTCCTCTCTAGTTATGAGATTCTATCAGTTGGGTTTTGGACTTTCTTACCACTTCTCTTTCTCCTGTTTCATCTCTAGCTTTGCTTTCTTTGTGGGAGACTTTCTTATCCGATCCTTCCATCTAATTATTTTGTTTGTACATTTTTATTTTGTATTTCCAAGAGCACTTCATTGTCTCTGGTTGTTCCTTTATCGTTGTTGAGGGTAAGGGGAGCCTGTGGGGCGCTCTGTGGTTCCTTAAGAGCCCTGCAGTCTCCCCATCCAGCCGCCTTCCCAGCCCTGCCCCCCACGTGCCCTCCCCGAGTCCCAGTCTCGCCTGGATTCAGTGGGGCAGGAAGCTCTCCCTCCGGTGCCGCTCTCTTAGCGTAGCATTCTTCTCTCTGCCGGGTAAGTGGCCTGTCTCATTCTTCCAGAAGTTGTATTTGCTCGTGGAGGAAGGAATGGGAGACAAACGCGTTTGTCTCCAGCTGTTTTGAATCAGAAGTTTTGCCAGTTATTGCCAATTATGATGGAAGGATTTCTTCAGAGTGTTTTCTCTTTTCAGATATACAGTTCCCGTTTCTTTACCCATTTCAGATATGGTGTGTTTTTCTAGAAAAACTGGTTTTCTACCTGACCGGTTGCCTGCTTAATTTATAAATGAGTCCCTTACAACGTGTCCCTGTATGTGCACACAGTGCTCCACTTGTGTGTTGACCAATGTGTAATTCAACAGAATCACTATATCCTTTTTCGTGGGCATCAAACTGGTTGTAACCAAAGATCTCCTTGATTCGGGGGCAACCACCTCACAATAAATGAACTCTGTTTCTTTATCTTTAATTGTGCCAAATAGTATATATTATTTGTTTTACTATTCTTAAATCTAACTGAATTCTCTTAATGTTTCTAGGTATAAATATTAATTTTTAGTGTGTTTACCTTTTCAAAACTAATTATTATAATCATGTTTTTGCAACCTAGCAGTTGAGTGAAATTTTGAACATTTATCAAAAGCCAACCAGTTTGACTGACATTTTACACCAAATGTGTTTTTTAAAATATTTATTTTTAAGAGAGCCCAAGCGGGGGAGGGGCAGAGAGAGGGGGACAGAGGAGCTGAGGCAGGCTCTGCGCGGATAGCAGCGAGATTGATGTGGGGCTCAAACTCACAAAACCGTGAGGTCATGACCTGAGCTGAAACGTAAATTGGACATTTAGGGGCGCCTGGGTGGCTTAGTCGGTTAAGCGTCCGACTTTCGCTTAGGTCATGATCTCGCGGTTCGTGGGTTCGAGCCCCGCGTCGGGCTCTGTGCTGACTGCCAGCTCAGAGCCTGGAGCCTGTTTCAGTCTGTGACTCCCTCTCTCTCTGACCCTCCCCTGCTCACGCTGTTTCTGTCTCTCTCTCTCTCTCCTAGAAATAAATAAAACATTAAAAAAATTTTTTTTAATTGAAAAAAAAAAGGGAATCGGACATTTAACCGACTCACCCACCCAGGAGTCGTTAGGTTTTTCTATATAGAATATCATGTCATTTGCAAACAGTGAAAGTTTTACTTATTCTTTACCAGTTCGGATACTTTTTATTCCTTTTTCTTGTCTGATTGTTGTGGCTATGTACTATGTCGAATAAAAGTGGTAAGGATGACATCCTTTCTTTTTCCTGATCTTAGGGGGAAAGCTTTCAGTTTTTCACCACTAAGTATGGTGTTAGCTATGAGTTTCCATATGTGGCCTTTATGTTGAGGTACCTTCCCTCTAAATTTGCTTTGTTGAGAGTTTTTATCCTGAATTTGTAAGTGCTTTTTCTGCATTTATTGAAATGATTACATGGTTTTTATCCTTTCTCTTTTTGATGTGGTGTATCACATTGATTGATTTGTGAATATTGAACTATCCTTGCAATCTAGGAATACATCCCACTTGATCATGGTGAATGATTTTTTTTAAAGTTTATTTTTGAGAGAGAGATAGACAGAGTATGAGCAAGGGAGGGGCAGAGAGAGAGGGAGGCACAAAATCTAAAGCAGGTTGCAGACTCTGAGCTGTCAGCACAGAGCCCAATGCAGGGCTTGAACCCACAAACTGCGAGACTATGACCTGAACTGAAGTCAGATGCTTAACTGTCTGAGCCACCCAGGCTCCCCAAATGATTCTTTTTAATGTGTTGTTGGATGGGTTTGCTAATATCTTGTTGTGGAGTTTTGCATCTATGTTCATCAGAGGTATTGGCCTGTACTTCTCTTTTTTTATGCTGTCTTTTCCTGGTTTTGATAACAGGGTAATGCAGACTTCATAGAATGAATTTGGAATTTTCCTTTGTCGTCTATTTTTTTGGAATAGTTTGAGAAAGATAGATATTAACTCTTCTTTAAATGTTTGGTAGAACTCACCTGTGAAGCTGTCTGGTCCAGGACCTTTGTTTGTTGGGAGTTTTTTGATTACTGATTCAATTTCATTTGCTGGTAATTGGTCTGTTCAAATTTTGTTTTTTCCTACTTCAGTTTTGGGAGGTGCAGGTTTCTGTGAATTTAGCCATTTCTTCTATGTTGTCCAATTTGTTGGCATATAATTTTTCATAATATTCTTAATCCTTTGTATTTCTGTGATGTTGGGTTGTTATTTCTCCTGTTTCATTTCTGAATTTGTTTATTTGAGTACTTTTTTTTTTTGAGTCTGGCTAAAGGTTTATCAGTTTTGTTGATCTTTTCAAAGAACTAACTCCTAGATTCATTGAACTGTTCTAGTGTGTGTGGGGGGGGGGGGTGTGCGTGTGTGCGTGCCCACACACAGTTTTTTTGTGTGTGTGTGTTCGTTTTTTTTTTTTTTAGTTTCTATTTCATTTATTTCTGCTCTAATCTTTATTATTTCCTTTCTTCCATTAGTTTTGGGTGTTGTTGGTTTTTCTTTTTCTAGCTCCTTTAGGTATAAGGTTAGGTTGTTTATCTGAGATTTTTCTTCAGGTAGGTCTGTATTGCTATAAACTTCCCTTTTATAAACTGCTTTTGCTGCATCCTTTAAAATTTTGTCATTGTGTTTTCATTTTCATTCATCTCCATGTATTTTTTTATTTCCTCTTTGCTTTCTTGTTTGACCTACTCACTGCTTAGTAGCATATTATTTAACCTGGATGTATTTGCATTCTTTCCAGATTTTTTTCCTCATGTTGATTTCTAGTTTCATAGTGTTGTGGTCAGAAAAGATGCGTGGAATGACTTCTATCTTTTTGAATTTATGGAGACTTGTTTTGTGATGTAATATGTGATCTGTTGTAGAAATGTTCCATGTCACTTGAAAAGAATGTGTGTTCTGCTGTTTTAGGATGAATGTATCTGTTAAGTCCATCTGGTCCAGTGTGTCATTTAAAGCCATTGTTTCTTTGTTGATTTTCTGTTTAGATTAACTATCCATCGATGTAATTACTATCAATTATTTCTTTTATGTTTCTTATTAACTGTTTTATGTATTTGGGTGTTTCTCTGTTGGGTGCCTAAATATTTACAACTGTTATATCTTCTTATTGGATTGTCCCCTTAATGATTATTTAGTGTACTTGTTTGTGTCTTGTTACAATCTTTGTTTTAAAATCTGTTTTGTCCGATATAAGTAGTATCGCTATCCGGCTTTTTTTTTTTCACATCTATTTGAATGATAAATGCTTCTCCATCCCTTCACTTTCTTTTTTTTTTTTTTTCGGGTTTTAAAACGTTTTATTTGCATATTTAAAAAATTGTGTGTTCCAGTAATTAAAATAATTTGAGCAAAAAAAATGGCACTCTGATTAAACTGCATTTTATAGCCTGCAGGATTCCTTGGACCAGCTTGATTTATACTCCAGATTTCACTGTTGTTTTACACAGCTTCTTCCTTCACCAGAATGCAAGCTCTTTTCCTTCCCCGCTAGCCAGATAGACAGATGGGAGAGGCAGCCATGGCCTTCACTGTCAGTAGTTCTCTGTTCTTTGATGTGGAAAGGGCAACACAATCATTTAAACTTGATCCAACCTCTTTGTATTTTACAAAGTTAAACAGCTAAAAGAAGTCAAATAAGGCAGTGCTTGTGGAATGCACAGTGCATACTGGCGGTGCACACCTCACGACTCACCTGCTAGCTTCTCCTGTTTACCTGTTTCTTTTGAAGGCAGTGGATTTTTCTCTTGAATTTGTTTTCTTCAGTTTTGACTTAATTGTATTTCTCAACTTCAGTCATATTGACTTTGTCATACATGGTTGTAGAGAAGCTGAGCGAGGTGCACGAACTAGCAAAGTCCGGTCTCCACGGTGGCTGCCACCAAGTGTCCATCGCTTCACTTTCAATCCGCATATGTCTTTAGGTCTGAAATGAGTCCCTTTCTAGGCGGTGTATAGGTAAAATGAGTTCCTTTCTAGGGGGTGTATAGGTAGGTCTTGTTTCTTATTCATTCCATCATGCTTTGTCTTTTGATTGGAGTGTTTAGCCTATTTATATTCAAAGTAATTATTGATACGTATGTATTTATTGCCATTTTGTTATATGTCTTATGGCTGCTTTTATAGTTTTTCTCCATTCTTCTCTTGCTCTCTTCTCTCACTATTACTTGCCTTTCTTTAGTCATATACTTGGAATTTTTCTCTTTATTTTCTGTATATCTATTAGTGGTTTTGATTTGTGGTTACCATTAAGTATGTATATAACCTCTTTGCATATGGCAGTCTGTATTAAGTTGATGGTCACTTAAGTTTGAACCCATTCTTTTTTTTAGCTTATGTATTTATTTTGAGAGGGGGAGAGAGGAAGAGAGTGCAAGCCAGGGAGGGACAGAGAATGAGGGAGAGAGAGAGAATCCCAAGCAGTCTCCATGCTGTCAGTGCAGTCTGATGTGGGGCTTAATCTCATGAATCGTGAGATCATGACCTGACCCAAGATCAAGAGTTGGATGCTTAACCGCCTGAGCCACCCAGGCTCAGAACCCATTCTTTACTCCTCTCCTCCTTATGTTTTAGGTATATGGTGGCATACTTTACATCCCTTTATTTTGTGAATCCCTTAAGCGATATTTACAGATAACTTGTTTTATTGCTTTTTTGATTTCTACTTTTCTTATTCTTGCTTATGGTCTTTTCACTCAAAGAGTCCCCTTTAACATTTCTGGGAAACTCTGTATCTCTCCTTCTATTCCAAATGATAGCCTTGTTAGGTCTAGTGTTCTTGTCTGCACATTTTTTCCTTTGAGCACTTTGGATATATCATGCTATTCTCTTCTTGCCTGCTAAGTTTCTGCTGAAAAATCTGCTGACAGCCTTATGGGCTTTCTCTTGTAGGTAACTGATTTCTTTTCTCCTGGTACTTTGAATTTTTTTCCTTTCTCACTATTTTTTGCCATTTTAATTACTATGTGTCTTGGCGTAGACCTTTGGTTATATTTTGTTGGGAGGTCTGGATTTCCATTTCCTTCTCCAGATTCAGGAAGTTTTCAACTATTTCTTCAAATATATTTTCTGTCCCCCTTTTCTTTCTCTTGTCTTTCTGGGATCCCTTGAATGCCAGTGTTCTTACATTTGATGGTATTGCGAAATTCCCTAACTGTTCTCATTTTGCATAAATTTTTTCCCTCACCTGCTCATCTTGATTACTTTCACTTACTCCATCCTCTAGGGTCAGTGATTGGTTCTTCTGCTTTGTCTAGCCTACTGTTTATACTATCTAAGTATTTTAAATTTCATTCATTGTATTCTTCATCTCCAATTGATTCTTTTATATCTCATCATTAGGGGTCTCATGTCTTACACTCTTCTGTCAAATCCAGTGAGTATCTTTATGTTCATTACTTTAAATTCACTATCAGGCATATTACTTACCTCTGTTTCACTTAGGTCTCTTGCTGTGATTTTCTCCTTTATCTTTTCAGTTTGTCTAACTCTCTGTGTCTGTTTCAGTGTGTTAGGAAAGTCAGCCTGTGTCCTGTTCTTTAGAGTATTGGCCTTATTTTTTTTAATGTTTATTTATTTATTTTGAGAGACAGAGAGAGCAAAAGAGAGTAGGGGAAGGGAAGAGAGAGCGAGGGAAAGAAAGAATCTTAAGTAGGCTCTGTGCTATAAGACAGGGCTCGATCTCACAAACTGAGATCATGAGCTAAGCCAAAATCAAGAGTCAGATGCTTAACCCATTGAGCCACGCAGGTGCCCCTAGAGTACTCGTCTTGTAGAGAAGTGGTCTTATGGGGCGCCTGGGTGGCTTAGTCGGTTAAGCGTCCGACTTTCGCTTAGGTCATGATCTCGCGGTTCGTGGGTTCGAGCCCCGCGTCGGGCTCTGTGCTGACTGCCGGCTCAGAGCCTGGAGCCTATTTCAGTCTGTGACTCCCTCTCTCTGACCCTCCCCTGCTCACGCTGTCTCTCTCTCTCTCCTAGAAATAAATAAAAAAATATTTAAAAAAAAAAAAAAAAAAAAAGAAGTGGTCTTGTAAGCCCTGCCATGCAGTGTCCCCTATTTATGACAACCTGGTGCTTCAGAGCGCGTCTCCGGGTGTGTAATGCCCGTGCCCTGCTGTGTGGCTGAGCCACGTTCTCCTTCAGCCCAGCGTCTGCAACGGCTTTCTTTGCCTCTTACGGGCAGCTTTCCCCCTGTGGTGTAGTGGGCCAGTCTGGAGACGCCTTGGGCTCCAATCGAAGCAGAGCCAGCATTTGCCAGCAATGCAGTAGCACCAGACTGCAGCATGCTCTCCCTGTGTTGTCCCCTGAGCAGCTTTCACTGGTTTGTAGAGCCTGCAGGCGGACCAGTTGTCTGCCTCCAGCCCACTGCTGGGGCCTCCATCTGACGGTGTGTGCGTGGCGCACAAGTCGCCTTGGAGTGGCGCTGGCCACTGTAGCGGCTGCTTGCACGCTACCTGGCGTGGGGCGCCATCCTTTATGGGCCTGGCCGAGCGTGTATTGGAGAGGGCGGACGAGCGGGAGCGCAGCGGAGGGCAGAGGGGCAGGCATTCTAGCAAGCTTTGGGTGCCACAGTCGTCCGGGGGCGGGGCCTGCAGCACCCAGACCCCGTGGGGCCGGCTAGAGGGCTAGACTGGAGGCACCGCGTGCGGGGGTGGAGGCAGCGGCGTGCGCGAGGCCCGGAGGCGGGTGTGTGTTTGCGTTGGGGGCCGTGGAGGGAAAGGGCACCTGCCGCTTCCTGTACTCCCGGCGGACGGCTGGCCAGGTGCCGGCGAGGGCTGGAGGCCTGGAGCTGGGAGCTAGGCTGGAGCTGAAGTGGGGTGAAAGCTTGAGGACACACTGGTCACCCTGTGCCTAGGCCGCGTCGCACTGCCTGTGGGCGTGCAGGGCTGATTGGGAGCGTGGGGCCAACGTGCTGTCGGGTGCTGGCTGGTGCCAGGGTAAGCCTGGAGCCTGGCTTCGTGCAAGCCGGCGGGGAGCCCGAGGCCGCGAGGTTGCCTGGAGCCCCTGGAGCCTGCTGGTGCCCGCTGGGCCGGGGACTTCGGTGTGCGGGCGCCACCTGCGGCCACTAGAGCCAACCGGCACGGGGGCGAGCGGGAGGCTTGGTTGCGCGGGCTCTACCGAGGAGCCGCCGACGGACGTGGAGTCGCACAGGCACCGAGGTGGGCAGGGGCCTGGGCTCACGGGAGCCGTTCAGGGCGGTGAGAGCCCCCCTGGTGCTGGGGCAGGCTGGCCTGGAGTCGGCCGTGGAGTCAGACACTTCACTCAGCTTCTCTCACAGAAACGCTCCCTTTCTCCATGCTGAGGTGTCTGGGCTCCGAGGAAAGAAAAGAGGCCGTGTGAATCTAGCCATCCTCCTCAGTGTACCTTTTCTTATATCTCACCTTCATCCAGGTGGTGTAATCCCTCACCTAGAGTCCTTAGCTCTTGTGAACGTATTTTCAAGTATAGAGAGGTCTCAAAATTGATATTTCTGGGAGGGTACAGGCACTAGAAATTCCTATGCCACCATTTTGCTGACATCGATCCTCCAATATAAAACTAGTATAAGTAGTTTTCGCCAACAAGTACGGCGTTTGTAATATACTTCTTATCACGCTTGTTATAATCCGTGGGTATTTTAAAGACTCCATTTGTCACTTAAAATGTATTAAGTCATATTTCCTTATGTATTAACTAGGTAGGCATTCATTTCCCTAGATAGAACTTGGGCAGTTTTTAAAAAATTTGCCAGAGCTCAGGTTACATGAAAGCCCATGTTTCTAGTAACTTTGAAGAAAGTTGTGAAGCTTACATATTTTTCAGCAACTTTACTATATATGTGTCTGTGCATGTGGAGATGTATGCATATATGTGTACATTTTATGTGATTATATACATACAAAACCTATGTGTATATCTATCTATTTAATATATAAAAAATATAAAAATATATTTTTAAATGCAGGGCAGTGTTCTTTACAGTCAACATCAGAACTTCTGACTGAGGTTAGAAGATGCTTTATATCTAGGAAAACATTCCATAATGGTTATTAGTAGGTGTCGTACTCTCTCCATGTTCACTTTCTTCAAATGTCTTGTTCTAAGTAAAATATTAAAGAAGAGACTTTTTAAGACATAAATAACATCTGCTCAATGTTTGGATAATTTTTAAGACTTGAAATTAAACAAAAAAACATTGAAACTAAGCTGATTTCTGTTCCATTTCAATAATATTTAAATTACATCATGAAGACAAAACTCAGTAGAGTCTCTGTTTCACTTAGACCTATTGGCAGTTCCCTGTATTTTATTTTAAATTATTCAGTAAAAGGGAACCAGTTTTGAAGTTTAAAGACTATTATTTTTCTGTTCATTCAGACCCAGCTTTTTGAGGCTGATTTACAATAATATCATTTTTTAAATGATATTAATGTGGCTATTTAAAAAAAGTGATTGCGGGGCACCTGGGTGGCTCTTTCAGTTGAGTGTCTGACTCATGATTTCGGCTCAGGTCACAATCCCAGGATTTTGGGATTGAGCCCTATTTCAGTCTCCACACTGAGCATGCAGCCTGCTTTAAGACTGTCTCTCTCTCAATAAAAGAGATTCCCAGAGAAAAATGAAATGACCTCGTGATCACTAAACCAACCCTGCAAGAAATTTTAAGGGGGCTATTTGAGTGGACAAAAAACCAAACCAAACAAAGAAGACCAAAAGGAACAAAGATTACAAAGGACCAGAGAACATCACCAGAAACTCCCAACTCTATAGGCAACACTATGGCACTAAATTCATATTTTCCAAAAATCACTCTAAATGTAAATGGACAAGGGGCACCTGGGTGGCTCAGTCGGTTAAGCGTCCGACTTCAGCTCAGGTCATGATCTCACGG